CCTTTGCCACCCCTGATGTAAATTGGAACGTTCCCGCCGTCCAGCTCGCTGGTCTGGTTGACTTCCACCGAGCACATATTCACCCTCCTCGTTCATCTCGAGAACCTGCACCCGCGCCAGCAAGTCGTGTTTCTCCTCGGTAAAGAAGTGCGCCTCGCTTATCCTGGCGCGCTTCTTCCCCCGCGAGCGAGGGACGCCGTCCCGCATATCGTCCCAGCTGAGGAGCTTATCCAGATGCATGGCCGACACCTTGGCGAAGATGGCCACGCGCAGCGTCGTCTGCGGGGGCGCGAACAGCGGCACGCTCATGCTATGAACGCTCTCGAACCGGATCGGGCCCTCGTCAAAGTCCTTGATCATCTGCGTCGTGGTGATGCCGTCCTCGGAAATGCCGGGGATGAAGAGTTGCGCGTGCACCTCGGTACCCTCGCGCTCCGCAAAGCCGACCATCTCGTGCATGACGATGTTAAACTTCAGCGTGTTCGACGGCGCCCGCGCGCTGGACGGCTCGAGCGCGAGCTTGATGATGCCAATGGCATGCGACGTATGGGGAGAGAAGACGTCAAGCGTAAAGTCTTGGACTCGGCTCTCAAACACAGCTTTCAGGGGCACGTCGACCTCGCCGACCAGGGTGTACTGCGGCATGCAGGCCTCGATAAACGGGTTGTCGAGGCTCAGGTGTTGGGCATACTCTGGTTGATCCAGATACTGGTACATCTGCCGCATCTGCCTAACTCGGTCAAGGAGCTTCTCGATGCTCCATAGGTGGACAACGCCGTGCCTGTAGTCGATGACGCGAACCCCGATGCACGGCTTCGGGGCCTCCTCGAGTGCGATATCGTCTCCTTCGCCGGTCAGCCCATTAAGGACCATGTCATAAGACGAGCACAACATGTGGCCAACATCAACCACGGCGAACTGAAAAACGACGTGCTCGTCCAGCTCGTGGCTCATGATCTGGGCTTCTTTTAGTGTGGCAGCATGTTGCAAGACTGCCTCGGCCATCCGCACGTAATGCCGGCTCCGCCAGTGCTTCACGGCGACCTTGGCCCGCTCGATCTCGTCCTCGGATAGCTTCGGGTTCGCCTTTGGCCGCTTGAGCGGATCTAGCTTCTCGATCTTGGCCTCAAACTCGCGCCGCTGAACCTCAAGTTGCTTTTGCATGTCCGCTTTGATTTGGACCAGCGTCTCCTCCATGCGGACTTTTTCCTTTTTTATCTCTTCGACCTCGACGTTCGCCGCTTCGGCGCTCTTAAGTTGGTCGCGGTATTCGTCCTTTTGTTTTTCCAACTGGTTCTGCATCTCCTCGCGCATCTCGCGCAGCCGGTCCTCGGTCTCGCCCTGCTTAGGGGTGGACGGCATGGTCAGCATGGTGTCGAGCGAGAAGTTGTCGATGGTGCCGGTGGACAGGTATTTCTCCCTGATCGGGTATGAGGCCATCGACTCCATATCTTCGTCGCCGTCCCGGCCGTTGACGCGCTCCGCCCGGGCCCGCTGGACGTCTTCGAAGAGCGCATTAAGCTCCTCGTCGGTCAGCTTGGTGAAGTTTTGGTCCGTGCCGAGGATTGCGGGGGCCGCTTCTCTGCGAGCAAAAGACCAATCGGACTCTTTCCCATTGCGCAGGAACGGAGAGTCGGGGCGGCTGTCACTGAAGTCGGAGATGGCTGTGCTCAGGCTCCTATCGTGCCCCGGTCTGCTGGGGCTTGGTGACGGTGATGTTCTCTCCAGCGCCTGCAGCTGGCTTGCTGTGATGGACTGACGTAGGAGACTCTGCTCTTGCCTTTCCGCCCGTTCTGCGCGCGCTTCCATCGGATGGTTGAATCTGAATATGTGGAAATCGCCCAAAATAATGCGGTACCCCGAGTGCAGTCTCGTTGGCTCCGTGACTCGTTTTCCGTTCACCATAACCGCTGCGTCTTCCTTTGGGACGACTGTAACCGTGCCATCTGCCGCGTTATCAAAGACGCAGTGCTCGTGGAGAATCCTCGACCCGTTCAGACGAATGTTCGCCTGGTGGTCTGCGTTCGACTCGACGTTGCCGACCGTAGTCGCACCGGGTTTCAGATTGTAAACCAGGCACTCCGCGAGAAGAGGGTCGTCTGAAAGGTTGACCAAGTGAGGCATCTTTTTGGGCGTGGACATGCCGATGAAGCCCTTCTCGATGCTGATTCCCAACTCCTCGAGCGCAGATTCTCGCTCTTTGTGGATTTCTTCCGTTTTGGCCAGTTTCTGCTCCCATGTCTGGTTGAGGTCCTGGAGAATCTTCTCGCTCTGGTCTAGCTGCTCCGCAATTTCTGCCTTTGACACCTTCTTGATAGTGCCATCGGCCTGCGTGATGCTGACGATCTGTTGTTCTAGAGGCGTGCCTTCTGCGTATACCTCCTCGGCAGGAACGGGCGCTCCGCCAGCACCGCCTCCGCCGCCCAGTTTGCCGCGGAGGAGGGCCAATTCCTCCTTGAGTTCGCGAATCATGCGAGCGTTGGCGTCTTCGTTGATGACTGCGTGGTTCTTGATGCGTTTCGCAGAGTCGGCGTACCGCAGCGTGCTCAGTGTTTCATCGTAGTTGATGTCCGCCGGACTGATGGCGGCGATCATGGCTGTCATGCTGTTGCCTCCGAGGGAGTCCTTCAATAACCATGTAAGAACACTATCTCTGTAGGGAACTTGGCCAGCCGCGCCCTTCTTTTTCTTGGCCCCAGTGGAAAGATCCGCCAATGCCGCGATGACACGGCCGAGGGTAGAAAGAGAGCGGTTGATTTCTGCGCCTTCCTTGAGACGAGCTCCGGTTGCGCCGGTAGAAGTGGCTCTTTCCGATCCAGCCAGATCTACGAGACTGATCTTGGCTGCCTTCTCCATGGCCATTTTCGTCTCGGGGTCGAAGCGCTTCTGGGTCAACATGAGGGTAAACACGGCGTGACTTCGACTCGAGGTCTCGTTCATGTTGGTTGCCGCCACCGTTCTGGCTTTGTTGCCCTCATCCATCAGATTCTCGATTTCCTGAAAACTCCCGACCACTAATTTCGCCAAATCCTCGACGTAGGGCCCAGTGGAAGGGTGCTCTCGGACTTTCAGGTTGCCCTTGTTTGCCGGGTTTAACAGATCGCGCACCCGTTCGTTGTAAATTTCGAGGTACGACACCTCAACGGTGCAGCGCAGGTTCTTGTCCTGTTGCATCTCCCCAATTCTCCTAAACATATCCTGGCAAATGTTCGGAATGATACCGGCGTCCTTTCCATACCCCATCATGGAGTACGACTTCCCGGAACCGGTCTGGCCGTAGGCAAAGATACAGTTGTTATATCCCTGGAAGGCATTGTCAAGGAGCGGCTTGCCCATGTCTGTGAAGAGGTTGTCCTGCCCCGCATAGTTCGGCGCGTTCTTGTCGAAGGACCAGTACGACCTGTCGAAGGCAAACACTTTCTGGCCATGATCCTTGACCGCTTTGTTGTCGGTCGGCGGTGTCAAGATCGTCTGGTTGTCTTTCATTTCCACGATACATTTTGCGTTCCGGTCATGTTCTACCAAGCGACAGCATCAGCTTCCCTGCCACCAAAAAACCCATCCCTAATTCAGACAGCAGTCCACTCACCTCTTCCGTTAAAGGGGCGAACTCTGACCACCACCTTGATATTCCCGCCCCCGCCGGCGGGCGGCGTAGCCGGAGCCATGGTTGCGGTTTTACAATGACGGGCTGGCGTGGCTTTCGAGGCCTACGGCGAAAGACGGCGTCGCGGCTGGCCCTGAGCGACAGCCGGTTCCTGGCCAGGCGGGTTCAAAGAGCTCGTGATTCTTGCGCGGTCCTCGAGTTTCCCAGCATGCAGTTCCCAGCCCGCGGTACGGCATCCACGCGCATTCTCCCACCACGATGTCGTGTTCGATAGCTAGCAATCTGCAGCTGCAGCCGTCGAGTAGCGGTCGGCTATTTGAGAGTGGAGATTTGACCTGCGGGGCGAGGGCGAGGGGCAGCCGCTTGCCCCCGGAAAGTTGAGTCGTCGAGATGTCGGGCTGATGTCGGGCGCCTGTCTTGGTTGTTGTGCGGGCGCAAGGTGTCTGGAAGTTTCGCAGTTGTGCAAGTTGACGAGTGTTGGTGTTGTTGTCGCCAAGATGCGGCACAGAAGGAATGCGATTTCGAGAATGCGTCCCGTGTCAACAAATTCGAGAGCGGGACGCGAGGCGCGAGCTTGACTCGGGGCCTTTCCAGGGGCGGGGCGTTAGCTCATTGGTGGACGCGGGGCGCTATGGCGAGAGATTACAGAACCTTAAACGAGCTCTATTCACGTGTCAACGGTCGGCTGTTCATCTCACTGACGGCAATTCACGTGCAACATTCATCTCGTTATTACCCGTTTCGCAAGCAAGTCAATGCGAAACTTAAGACTATTTAATATCAATATAGACAGGGTTAATTCGCCTTTTTCTTCCATCACCAGTTCTCTGAGTTAACGAATGAATATTGGGGTCTTCTCAAGTGGCTTCAGTGGGGCAACTCAACAAGTGTCAGCGTCAGTGTGTCAGTGCCAGGGTCAGATTGATTCCAATACATTCTGGCCACGACATCACGAGTTAACCAGATCCATGGGGGGGAACATGTTGCCAGTTGTTGCTCATCCTACCAATTCGATGCTCAGTGCAGGATATTCCAGACCCAAATCAATGATATCCTAGATGTTCGCCCAGAGGCTCATCCATGTGGAGCTTGTTCGATTGTTGGCGCTACTTTGACTCTCCCAACCCAAGATCCTTCTCAACCAGCTGGCGGCAGATGGGGTGATAGAAATCACGGTTCTTCTGAAAGGTCTTGACTGCAAGGTCACGGTCCACCTTGTTGAGAGTGCGGAACAACGTCCGGACAAACTTCATACGACCAACATTTCCGAGAAGCTCGGCCACACCTGGGTACGAGGTGGTGTCCTTGGCCTTCATCGCAATTTGGTAGTAAGCTGCCTTGAGCTCGACATTTTTAGAGTCAGCAAGAGCGTAAATCTTGCCCATGTTTTGCTATGGCCGGTTAGCTGGGGGCCGTCACAAGAAATTTGAGTCTTCCCAAGATACGTACCGACTGCTCCGCCGTTAGTGGTTCCTCGAAGTCTTGGACCACGTTCAAAAACACGAGAAGCTGGTTTCCGGTCCAAGATGATGTGTCCGACGGGCTGGGAGAAAAGTCCTTGCTCTTCCACTTGTTGGCGAGTTGGAAGCACCCATCAACAAGCGTTGTGTCAAACTCGGGCTTCGGCGGCAGGCCAGGGTTGAAGAAACGGCCCTCCCAGTCGATTTGCGAGATCTTGTCCTTCAATTTGGAGTACTCTGGGGCGCTGAAGAACTCTAGGAAAGTGTCCTTGAACTCGAATGAATCCAGAGATTTGTTTTGCCACTTGCTGAAATAATGGGGAATGAACTTGTCGAAGTTTTCGCGCCCAACGAGACGGTCAAGGGACCAGATGAAGTGAAAGCCCTTCTCGTAAGGTACCGAGCTGAAGGCATCATCCGGGTCAATTCCATCGTGTTTGATGGATAGCTTGGTGTACTCGTGGTCTTTGCCGAACTCCTCGATCGCCTCCTCTAGTAGGTGGCACCGTTATTAGCAAGAGATAACGCCATCAAATTCGGGCCGAGAAACTCACCCAAATGCTTCCAGCCGATAATGGCCGAAAAGTCAAAATAGGAGTCATTCTTGTGGATGGAAGCAAGAATACGGCGCTCCAGATACACGGTCCATCCTTCATTGAGCCAGCTGTTTGGAATTAGCGGACATCTTCACCCGACGGCGTTCAGGGGGATGAACTCACAAATGCTCCCAACTGCAGCTTGTCACCAAGTTGCCACTCCAGCTATGGGCGAGCTCGTGGGCAATGACATCAATGTTTTGCCGGTCACCGCTGATGATAGTGGGTGTCGCGAAGGTGAAGATGGGGTTTTCCATGCCGCCGTACGGAAAGCTCGGGGGCAGGACAAGGACATTGTACTCCCCCCACTGGTAAGGGAAGACGATCTTCTCGGCAGCGTCCAGGAACTTGTCCATATCATCCTCGAGCTCCCATTGCGAGGCCTTCAGCTCGTTGGGGCCCGTGGCGACTGACGAGCACCTTCCGATCTTGGCACTAGCAATGTCTCCAGAAGCCACGGCAAAAAGATACGAAGGAATGGGGACCTTCTGGTGGAACTTGTAGACCTTGTCCTCGCCCACGCTCTCTGGTTCACCCGGCACCGGGACGCCGCTGGCAACGACAACATGGGGGCTGCGAATGATGAAGTCGTAGGTGCTCTTGACGTCGGGCGTATCCTGGCAGGGGAAGATGGACCTCGCATGGATGGCCTGGCACTGGCTGAACATGAAGGGAGCCTTCTTGTTGCTCGTCTGGGCCGGGGTCAACCATTGGAGAGCAGTGCACTTGTCCGTGGTGGCCAACTCGATCTCCAGCTTAACCACCTCCCCCTTGCCAGCGCCATTGGGCACTGCGACGCGGACTGGAGAGCCGCTGGGCCCTGTGCGGTCCCTGACCTCCCATTGCGAGGGGGTCGAGTTGAGTGTGATAGCCGAGACGTCGACATAGCTGGAGTCGAGGATAATCTCCTTGCTGGCCTTGTCTGTCTGTGACTCAAGCTCGAGGACCACAGACCCGCGAAGGCACTTGGCGGTAAAATCGACCTTAAAATCGGCCGTGGTGTGCTTCGTGCGCCATTCGTTGTAGTTGGACAGCGTGTTGGGGTCCCGCACAGGTGCCATTCTTGCAATGCTTATGCCAAACCACCGACGTTGAAAATATGGTCTTGATTTTGTTGTTGTTCTTGCTGTCGTGTTCAAGTTATGAGTAATGGCCGAATTTGCCGTTTCTTGAGCGAACTTGGCCCTCCCAAGGCGAAGAATACCCCACATGAGCACTCCGCTTTCTCAGCTGCAGCTTGATGCCCAAGCTGTGCCGTTTCTCCCTTCACGCCTTCCTCCTTTGTCCAGCGTGAGTTGAATCGCACCGTTTGATAGGCCCAAGATTGATGACATCAGACAAACACGTGACTTCTCGTACGGAAATCCGCGGCTTTTCCAAGCCACCTTCCTTCCATTTGCATCGCTTTGACAAAACATTGACACAACGCGATAATTCTGCAATTCTGCCACTTTGTTAGTATTGTCTTCCGCTTCTTCTCTTTTCTCTTTGCCGTTTCCGTCTAACTCAAGCGAATTATGCCCTAGCTTCCGTCTCCCTTCCTCCTTTCTGCTACTTGTTTACTCCTGGTTTTGGAGCGGGCCGATTCGCTCGGCGTTCACTACCTGTGTCTGTCTGGTTGGTCCCGCGATGCGAAACATGTTTCAACTCCCAAAGTCGGGATCGCAGTTTTCCGGTCGGCCTTCAAGCCAGCACGGAGCTATCATGGCGAAGCAGGTTTGCATTGCGAGGGAGGGAGGCTCCCTTCGACCTCGTTTGAAGCCCTTTTCACAAGTGTGGACTGGTTATGCACCGTCACCTCTGGGCCACCAGTTCGGATGGCGATGGGCCGCCCCTTCTGATCGTCGCTGGAACGAAGTCTGTCCCACTCGATGGGCAAGATCCAGCTTTATTTTGCACTGAGCCCGGCTTGAGATGGGCTGCCTCAGGTCAGCCAGACCTCCCTACGAGCCGCGCCGCGCTCCGCTTTCCCCGGACACCCCCCTAAAGTTTGCAGCTGGTTGATGGGGACTCTTTCTGACGAAACCTCTCATGGTTAGCCCAGGGCCTCCATGGTACTTGAATTCCTTGACGCTCGATCCCGAGTCCCGGTGAAGACTTTTTGGTGAAACCTATCAACAGTCAGGCGGGGCCCAGAAGTCTTCCCAGACGAAGTCGAGTGTGCCGGAGAATCATTTACCACGCTTGCCCCTCTTCATTAAACGATTGCTTTGATACTCAGTCCGTTCGGGTGAACGCTCCCTCTCAAGTTAGGAGTTGAAAGGTTCACGGTCCCAGTCCCCTGGAGCAATGAATGCCACAATAAGAATGATCACCGTGGATCCCCTCTTCGTACCGAATATCCAAGGTTCCGGCTTGACAGCTTCCTATATGCCTGCTGTTCTATACCCTAAGACTCACGCTCGGGTAATCTCCCGAGCCCGTTGCATGAATGTACTTTCCGTCATTTCGGGCGTTTCGCTCAACATGGGAAGAATCAAGAACCTCTGTTGAAACATACGGGCTTGTCGAAACAAGAAGGGCCGCGGTAGTCATGTCGCGGCTGGGGAGTGGAACCCGCGTTCGAGAAGATTTCGCATCGAACGAGACGAGATCTTCCTTCCTGAGCTGCGTGCCTTTGAAGCAAAGAGCGCAGACTCCGCCATGCAAATCGATACCCAGCGGTCCTCAGAGACGCCGCCCTGTCCATATGTCGGCTGAAGCCAAGCGGCAGTTGGATTCGTCAAGCAGTTTCCCCGTCTCACTGCTTCAATGACAGACTCAAAAAGGAATTCGGGTCATCCTCTCTAGCCAGGATGGGCAACAAGGTTCAACCGTCAAGGAATCCCCAAAAACATTAAGGCTGTTCGTGTTGGTGTCTCGTGGTAGCCTTGGCGATTTCCACCGGCTCAGCGGCCGTCTGTCTCAGGAACCTTGTCAAATGCAGTCTCGCGCATCGAAGCGAAGCTCACTTGTGCAGGTCAAGCGGCGCGGACCATGGGGTTGGACTGTCGCCATGCACCGAGAACGGCCGACGGTTTGCCCAGCACGCTGTTCGCAGGCCTGGGCATGCACGCTGGTGGTCCCAGCACACCGTTCCTCCTATCGTTTGCACGCTCGGACATCGTCATGCGGCCTATTTATTGTCTGATGTGTATGTCGAGCGTCTGCATGCTGCGGAGGAGCTGCCACCGTGACGCACATCAAGTACAACGGCATGATCAATCTTCGACCCCTTAGCGATGCACGTTCGGACAGTGGTCGAGCGTTGATGGCAAGACAACGTGGTGCCCTTACAGCATCGCCTCGACCCCAACATCTGTGCGGTGCCCCTGAAGGAAAGATCGCTTAGGGCTTACAGAACGCTAGTTGGACTAGTCTCTTTTTTCACCCACGAAGAAGAAAGCAGGAAGGTGCAGGAAGTTCTCTTCGGATTTGGTTGCTCTTTTGCGCTCTGCCAGCCCCGGAAGAAGATCCGAGACAGTCCCAAGGCAACCCATTGGGACAGGAACCCGCGGGCCTGGTCCCTGTTTATCCCCTCCTTTAGTGGGGTTGGACTGCAGGAACCGACCAGGGGCCCTGCTCGCCAATGGGGGGAAGCTTGCTTCTGGGCACTGAAGCTTCCCTATTATGTGCTGTGTACAGAACCATGGAAAACATGGAAGAACACAGGTATTCCATGACACACCAGCGGAAACTTGCCGCTCTTCGAGGCTGTTCCGCCCCCCGGGAATGAACGTTTCGAAGAACCGACTGCCGGGCGTGTATTCGGAACTCGGGGACGCTGAAAATAAGGTTTGTACCCGGCCTGCTGGACTGGGACTGGATCATGTCTCACCTCCCTGAGCGAGGACAACATCAAGAAGTCACACACAGCCTTTGTGCCCTCGGCTCACCGTTGAGGAGGCTTGCTTTTTGCGTGGCCACTATTCCGAGCTGTCTCTACGAAGTACATCCGTCGGCTAACAGAACCATCACCTTTCTTGATGACCGTGGCCGCCGTTGGAACGGTAAACATGGAACTAGTAACCACCTTCCTTCTGCGCGGGCCCCGGAATACATACCCGCATGCGAGGGATCGCAGGTGAATCGGACTCCGCCATCATCTTGCTTCGAGCCCGCTGCGGGCTCTCGTCAGCTGTCGTTTTCTCAATGAGCGAGGCCCTGCAAGCCCCTGCTGGTCACATCACTATCACCGTTCCTAGGAATGGCTGTTCGGGTCCCGAAAAAGGCTCAACTGCCCATCCCAACCCCCCACGTATTCCCCCCTGAGGATGTGAGGATGCTCGTCCGCAGTGACGCCGACTCCACCACAAACAGGGACACCGCAAACAAGGAGTGCCATATCCTGACCCTCACCAAACGCGAGGCGAGCGATCCAGGGAAAGATCATTTGCGCTCTCGAGCCTTAACAGAGTCTGATATCGTCTGTGCTGTGGGGGCTTCCCCTGACATGGAACTGGGCTTGGTGTGTAATCTCCGCGTTGTTTGTCATCGCTCTTTTCTTTTTTTTTTTCCCTCTCTTTCTTTTTAGGAACACCGAGCAGAGCACGCGAAGTCAGTTGCAGAGTTGTCAATGACTAATCTGCCACCACAGATAAGCACTCCCAAGCATCGTTACATGGCCTGGCCGGCGGGCCCCCCACCCACGTCAAAATCGTACGATGGTCAAACTTGGGGTTGGAGATCGAGGGATGCGGTGCAACGGTTCGACTTTTTTTTTTGCAGTCGGTTCCCCCATCCCGTGACTTAACCGCACGGACATCTCGTTGTTTCCCCCCCCTTTTCCCCTCACCACCACCAGCAATATCTAATATCCAAAAGACGGCACGGCGAGGCACGGGGCTACGAGATTAGAATCTGACTTGAGTGCTTGCATCAACCCGCACGCGCAAGACCTGCTCGTGTGTGGCCCGGGGCCACGGGACGGGACGGCTCACGGCCGGTTAGGGACCACAAGTTACGCTGAGTGGCTGGCTCGCTCTTGCCGCTCAACCGCGCGCGGTGAGCGGATCAGTGGATAACATAACTGAGAAGGCCCTTCCCGCGCTTGAGGGCATCCAAGCGCTCGACGAGCAACTGTTAACTCACCACTGTGTGTTGTATATACACATGATGTGGGGTGGGCGGCTCATTCATATTGAACTAGAGTGATCGTTCATGAAGAGACCCGGTCAGTATGTAAGAGAAATCTTCGTCGCGGTAGCGGGAGTGGGAAGGGGGATGAGGATTTGTGCTGCAGTTAATGAAACTGCGTCTCTTCGATGGATGTTGATTGACGAGCTGCTAAAACGGGAGCAGAACAAGTTTCGGAGTCAAACCCGCGAATCAGAGAGTTGAAACGGCGTCTCGTATCCCTGTCTATGGAAATCTCCGCGTCCCGGGTGCGAGGAAATATTCCTGTTGGAGGGTGCAAAAACCGTTTCGTTTGGAGCGGGGCATCTGCCGTCTGTTCGGGCTGGAGGTGTTTCCATTGTGTTTCTGTTTCTTCTTTTTCTTGTTCACGCGAGCAATCATGCCGCGTTTTGGGGACGAGGTACCAGGCAAGCCAGCCACAAGGGTGGTGTATTCGGGAGGCTCGGAGATGAAGTCGCCAACAGCAACTTGCGAGGCAACCAGTGCTCTGTCGAGATTCTGGAAACAATGTTCCCCGATAGTGAGGGGGTTGGCGGTGGTAAGTGAGAGCTCCCAGCTTTGAGGGAACGGCAAAGGGGCCGGGCACATGGGCCCTTGTCCATATCGTTGCACTTAAGGTTGAGATCCCTGGTTTTCTCGGGGAGATCGCGGCTTCCACGAAGATCCACGACCAGTTTTGGTGTGATGAAGGGCAACAAGATCCCGGGGGCAGCCCTTCGCTTAGGAGGTGGATGGCCAAGGGGTTGGGGCTGGGGTTTCGCCCCCACCAACATTTTGACTCGGAGCCAGAACGTTCATCACTTGAGGGATTCCAGGCACGTCAAGAGCATTGTGCCCGGAGCTGTGAACCGCGTGGATTGTCACAACTGAAAGTGAGTCCCGCGTTCACCCCAAGTGATCAGATACTTCGCATATCTTGCGACATGGTCAAGTTACTGTAATGCAACAATGACAGTCGATCCACACTTGTGTGCCCGAGAGTATGGAGTTTGCCGTGTAGTGAAGGCTGCGTGGGGCGGGATCCTTGTGTGTCATATCTTTTAAGCAGCACCTGCGAGAAATTTCTATCGGCGTCCGCCGTCTCCCCGGACCGAAATCGGCAAGTCAACCATCTGCATCTCTTCTCCGAGTTACATGGGCGAACGGGCGGGGTGAGGGCGCTTGCTTTCTGCGCGTCAGTCACGATGTGGGTGAGACGCTCACGGTTAGCTCTCGCGCACGGGCAGAGCTTGTTCGAGGGAGCCGAAGCTGTCAACAACGTCCCCAACCTTGAAGCGGTGAGAAAGGGGAGTTGACTGCAGGAAGGTGGTGGTGATGCAACCTAGCGATGCTCGAAAAGGTGTTCATGACGACCAGAACAGACTGCGAAACCCGGTGGAGGACGAAGATCACCCAGCAACGTCCAAATCCGGTATGTGAATAGCACTGGGACGCACCGACCACAACTGCCGGTTTTCCAGTGCACAGTGTGTGTGAGACGGGCCGTTACGCTGAGAAGGTCTGGTATGTTGACCTTCCTGAGCTTAAAAACATAGGACGAAACGCCAAGTTTTCATCGCGATGAGCGGTTGTGGGGAGATGGTGTTTGGCAGCACTCCGGCCCTTAAATCGACCATAAGCTTCGTTATCGTCGACACACCGGGCAGCAGCACCTTGTGCTTGCTGGTTTTTGGAGATGACGGAAACCGGCCGTCGAGCCACTTTGTGCGCGCGTCCATTCCCTCGATGCAAACTGGCAGCCCAGAATGGATGACATCGCATCGCGTCGGTCAGCAGGGCGCACTGACCCCCGGGGCGTTACCCATCGCAAAGCAGCCCGTTGTTGCCCAGGCCGTTTCGAGAAATAAGGCCGACGGTTTCTCTTGGGGTCTCGAATGATTTTGTCTGAACGGTCACTTAGCGCCTTGGCTGAGGGCCCACAGCTGTTTGAAGCCAACTTAAAGACGAGACTTGTGTGTATCCTCTTCCTTGTTTGGGCCTCGCTAGAGTTGAGACGCGGCATGTTAGCAAATCTGATATATTAGCTTCGTTAGAGTCACGAGTTGGCGAAAGGAACTTGCCGATATCTGCATGGCAAGGATTCAAGTTGGCGTATGTCCACTAGGTAATTTGAATTGCAGCTGTCGCATTTCTGTTCCCGAGCCGTTGTGGTTAATGAACGGTTCGGGTCTGTCTCAATGAAACTTGAAGGGGAGAGGGGAAGGAACTTCGACCGATCAGAGGACACAGCAGAAGCCTTGAAGGAGTCAGCCACCTAGGTTGCCCCTCATTCATTGCCTTCCTGTGTACGAAGTACTGGGAGTTTCCTTCCACATTGTGTGGTCATGGAACGTCAGAATGGCCTGACAGCACCTTCGTGGCTTCTAGAAAACGCAAACTTCGCACAAAAAAGAGTTGAGAGGAGTTCACTCGAGTCAGACACTCTCATGGCATGGACTCCCCCTTCTCCCAGCACCAACCAGTCTTCGGATCTCGAGTTTGCCGCAATGACGCCCTTCTTTTATTCGCCACCAAGTTCATGCACACTCTCCAGAGACACTAGCGCAAGCAGTGTGGAGATAACCACATCATGCACATCAGTCGGGGTAGGGCTGGACGTTCTCTTTTTGTTGGTCTTTTGGTACGAAACACAGTACTTCGCCCATGCTGGATCCCCGAGCAGCTGAATATCAATCAGACGATGGATGACGACAGCAGACCTTGCCCTGGAAGTTCAGGGTTTCTCCTTACGCATTGCGTAATGAAGAAAACGACCAGAAAAGGCTGCCGGGCATCCGTCCTGCTTCTCCCGCTCGCACCAATGGGCTGCTCGAAAACAAACGATCAAAAATCGACATGTCCGTGCGATCCGTCAAGCCCCCGTGCTTCGGGCGAGCTCGGGCGATAATTGCTCCACTGTTGAAGATTCACGACATCCTGGTGTGCTGCTGATCGAATTTGGCTCTCGAGCCTCTTGATGGATGCGGGGTCAATGGGGGTTTTGCGGTTTTTGCCCCCCAGCGACGCCCTCCGCTTCCGCCTGTGATCTGCAGCCCCCAGGGAAGCATCAAGTATGAATCTCGCGGGAAGATTGGTGAATCTCAACGCTTGGGCCACAGTCGATCTCCCGGCTACTGCTGGAGAGAGGTCTCACCTCTTCACAAACCACCGGCATCACTTATCTCCACTATCATCATCGTCGGCATATTCACTTCCGCGTAGTTCCATCCATTGAGCTTGGACCCGTCCAGCTTCATCCCGTCCTGCGGGTTAGACTTCTCGTCGAGGCAGCTGCCCTGGCCGCCTGCAGCACCCCTCGACATGCAGAAGCAGGTACCCCAGCTTTAACCAATGTCTCTTGATTTAGCCAAACGGAAGCCATTGGTCTGTTAGTGGGGGTCGGTTGCAGGCGTTGTTCATAGCCCTCCCCGATATGGACAGGCTTGGGTGGCCCCCCTGCTGCAACCATCCTTGACCGGGACGTCTCTCCATCCTTGCCGGCAGGGATTCTTGACCAGGGTCGGGCTTCACTCAAAGCGGTCTTAGCGGTTTCATTGTGTCCTCCTCGTGCAGCTGCTTCTCACCTTTCGGTCCTGTTACAGTGTGCTCCTGGACGCGAGCCATTCCCTTCTCGGCTGCATCTCCTTGACACCGAGCACCCCACCAGACGCCCCAGGCATGGCTGTGCCCCCGAACAAAGAAAGCCCCGTATCAAGGCTCCCGGCCGTGTTGCCCTCTCCGAGGCGAGGTTCCCTTTCGAGCTGCTCCAACACGCCCAACCAGGGACATCGCCCGCAGACAACCGGGTTCCTTAGTGTACCGGCGGTGCAGCAACAATCTTGCATGGGAGCACATGGCTCTCCATGGATCCTCCCTCTCCAAACCCCCCTGTCACATGGCTTCCCTCTCGCCCCTGATGGACAGGGCTTTGAACCTCTGGGAGCCCACTCTGGCCCGGCCTGCATGTATGGACGTGTAGCAGCCAGCTTGAAAGGGTTCTCTCCGCCCTGGATTTGCATACCTCAAAGTATATATCCTCACCACAACCTCTGACCTATCAGCCGGCTGGCCCGCGCGGGAACCTTAAAACGCTCCCTGGTCCTTATCCGCACCGCATCTCCCGGGCCCAGCGTGAACCATCTATCTCTTACACGGATTCGACCCTGTGTCCACCCCGATGGCTCACATTGCCAACTGCCTAGAAATGGACCAGGAGGACCTCACCATTGGTCTCAATAATTATATAGCGGCAAAGACCGTCACCGAGGAGTCCAATGAGCCGGTATGCAACCACTTATGTCCCGTCTCTCTGCTGCTGGTCAAAGCTCACCATTTTGTTGCAGTTAGGTAGAGCATCCCCTTCGGGAGATAAACCGTTTGCCTGGAGAATGCAGCCCCAGAAATATCAGCTTTTTCCCAAGGGCAAACAGACGGTTCCTGCCCCAGGGAAACCACTAGATCCCGAGCAGGCTCAGGCATTCGCCCTGGCCAGGAGCCAGAACGGCGAGAAAAGCGAGAGGACGGCTAATCTGCACCTGAAGCTCCGGCTCAATCAGCGCGAGATGCGCAACCGGAAGATTAGCGTCTCGGATCTTGCTCCCTTGACGACGGTGCAGGAAGCTGCCATGGACTCCCGTATGTCCTTGGTTGCCTTTACTCTCTATCTAGTTTATGACTGACATCCGCCAGCTACCATCCCCGGGCGGCCACCTGTCCATGAGCGGTCTATCAGCGCACCGGGAAGCTCGTGGAAACAGTATTCCCTTGGCGACTGCATGACGTCTGGGAGGACACGGACACTGGATGAGAGACCAGAACTTCGATCAGCTTACCGAAGCAATGAAGAGCTACAGCGCCCTGAAAATGAGCCCCGACAGCCACTGTCCCCGAAGAGTCTGACGCCACTCGTCATACCGACGTCAAACCCCATCGCCCCCCACTTGGCGAGACGGATATCCAACAGTCGACTCCGGTCTGGCAGCACTCCCGTCGATGGCCCAACCCGCGGCGCGCGGGTTGACGACTCCCCGCGGGTATGGACGCCCTTCACGCCAGTTTCCGCCGCTTTGACTACACCGAGATCGGCCGCGACGACAGTCACGACGACATCGACATTGGCTACTCCGATTTCGGCTCCCGCGGACCACAGGGAATCCCCAAAACCATGGGAGAGGTCGACGGGCCACGCTGCAACAGGGGCGCCGAAGGAGGTCGCCTCTGAACGTTCCACACCCAGAGGGGAGCTCAGTGACCCACTACAAAGCCTCACCCTTGGACACAGGCGGAACCAGTCGGAGTCGGACAGTATAATCAATCGGGGAAGGCCGCCTAGGCGACTCGAAATCTGTGCGGGCCCGGCGACTTTGAAGCGCAGCGGCTCGAAGAGGAACAAGAGCTCGGAGGGGCATGCAATCGAGCAGCTCCCGAAGGGTTGGAAAGCTAGTGACGCTGTCAACATCATGAGCCCAGCAGAAATTGCTTCCCTGCAAAGGCAGGCCCTCCAGCAAGCGGCCCGGTTCGAAGTCCTCAGAAAAGAGGATGTCGATAGTCTATCACGGGTTCGTGTGCTTGGTCTTGGCTTCATTAACACGCTCACTAATTCGATACTTAGGAACTTCGCCAACTCGACGAGCGTGCCGATTACCTTCGCCACACACACACGTCCCTTCGGTCAGGGAGGCGAAACCTCCACTCGCGCATCTGCCAATATCTCCGCTCTCCGCGCACAGCCAAGTTCAGTCACGAATCAATCCTCAAACAGGAGGAGGCCCTTGCGGAGCTCGATACCTCGATCGACGAGTGGACCACTAAACTAGAGCATGTCGAGAACCGACGCATCAGGGTCCGCCAGAAGCTGCTTGAGCATGTTGCTGCCGCCGCCACTTTGGGTTCCCCGACTGGGAGCGTAGTGGGAGTCAGCGAGAGCTTGCAATTTGCTCTTGGCGTTGTTCGGCCCCAGAACGCTGAGCTATCCACCCCGCCTCGGAGCCCAGTCAAGACCTCGTTTGCACACGCCGTACCATCATCGTCGTCTTCGCCGCATCGAGCCCAAGTGCCATCCACAATCCTAGAGCAACCACTGTTCGAGGAGGCCGCCTCTATGGACGCTAAAGACTCTATGGATGCCAAACAGACCGTGGATGCGAAAGATTCCACAGATGCCAAAGACATACCGGATGCCAAAGACGCCGTAAAGGAGCCAGCTCTCCGCCGTGCCGAAACCATCCGTGTGTACGCAGCTAATGACGTGTACGGAGCTCATGACACAGACGAAGCTCATGACATGTACGGGGCTCATGGGGTGTACGCTCTCATGGCGGATGTGGAGGACACTGTGACCAAGATGGGCGGTTGCGATGCCCAGACCAAGGACTCTTGCGCGATAGTGTCCGAGGCGGAACGGCGAAAGCTGTGCCGTACCCTTAGCCATGATGTCCTCAGCGGCGGCTCTGTCCCGAGTGGTGGCTCTATCCCAAGAAAGCCCCTACCCGTTTCGAAGTTGGCTGAGAAGCCGTCTTCCTCGTCATTGACTTCCTCGTCGCCCACTTCCTCGTCAACGTCTTCCACTAAAACACCCCCTTTAGCTGAACCAGACACTGGGGAGGTCCTTCTCACCAGTGCCGTTTTCAAGCCTTGACAGCCATTCATCATTCAACACGCCAGCATAACCGCATTCGGTCGTCTTCGACTAGACGAGACGCTCTTCGCTTCAACTTTGTTACTGTCGTCACGACGCTCACGTTCCTTTCGGTAGCAGCACTGTACTGCAGCTGACCGCACACCACCTTTATAATTCGGCTCGCTTTTTTATACATCTCAACTTTGAAGATACCCTTCTTGTCATTCCTTCAACTGCTATCTTTTAAACTTTTTTCTTCTCTCTTATCGATTCTTGGTTATTTGCCATCATCGATCTATCTACATACTGATCTGCATTCTTACCTCTTCTTTTCTGTACAATTGTATTCTAGCATACACCCCGGGGCACGGCGTTGTCGGCGACAACCTTATCTTTTTTATATCTCAGGCATAAAGGCTTCATTTCTTCTGATGCTATCACGGCCGAAATCAAAGTCATATGATATTCCAGTGCGCGGGCAAAAACGGATCGGCAAGATACCAATGATACCAACGACCGGTTAACGTCATCTTTTCTTTCTCTACCAAAACAATCAATCTCGGACCAGGCTGATACTACAAGGATGTAGTGGCTAGGAAGCAAGGGAGGGATTGATGGGGTTGGCGAGGTTGCGTGCAAACGAGACGTGCAAATACGCTGTGCCGCAACTGAGGTCAACGGCGTAAGGGGGTTGGGAGTTGGGCGAAAAGCGGTAACATGAATGTACCTGTGATTATAGTACAGCTATGGGAATTTCAACAGCAATAACCTCATCTAGTGTTCAATTTAATGCAACTGTACGCATCCCATATCTCCTCATTTCGAAGCACGCTGCACATATCCTCTCCCTCTGCTGCGACATGCTCGACTCCCGACTCCCGACTCCCTCGTGATGTGCGTGCGTGGCGTGCTCTGGCAACGAAAGACCCGTGCCACGGAGCCAGCGCCGACGCCCCCTATCCCCCAAGCTGCGCACGCACACTCGAAAACTCCCCAGGACAAACTATCCCAGCACGCCCTCGCCAACAACGCCCCCTTTCCCCGCCCCAGGCCCACTCTCGAGCCTCCTTTGCCTCCGTAGGACCCTTTCCTGCTGTGTAGGCAGGCATGCACGCCCGGGCATTCCACCCGCCCCCGTCCCGCCCCTTCTTCCCACCATTCTCCCCTTCTCCCTTCGACTTTCCTTTCAACCCCGCCGGCCTTGGCGGCGTCTCGTCCCGAGTCATGTATGTCTGTCTACCACCTAGTCATGTCTCTCCCTCAAACAACGCCACCGACCAAAAACCACCTAAGGGGCAACGGCGTTGGTTCCGGGTCCGGCTCCGCATCTTTCTTGTTCCCGTCTTGTCCCCTCACTTGCCCCTCGGTCTGGGCGGGGTTGGCAGCTGATTTGAGCACGTAATATTTTGGACATTCATCACATCGTCGATGATCGATCGCCCCGGGGTTGACAACTCCCGTCGGAGGGGCGGTGGAAGATGGGAGATGTCAATATCGGGTGATGTGAGGGTCCTGTAGCGATCATGACTGAGGTAGGCAGCGGGGTTCTGATTCAGGTGCTGATATCTGCGCACGCCACGATAGGTGGTCGAGGTGTCCTGGTTTGTTGGTGCCTGGGTACCTGAGTCGGTGAGGTCCTTACACAGTAGATGCATGCATGTGAAAGTATCTAACATTGGGGTTTTAGGTGCTAGTGTACACTTGGGGGCGCTAGAGCGGCTAGGGAAGAGCCGGCCGCGAGTAGGGTACGGTTAGGTACGTACACGTGTGCTCGAGTACTCCCGAGTGGCAGATGCTTCGAGAAGACCACTGCCGAGGAGGCAATTGGGAAACCTCTCCGGTTCCGCATCTGCCGAAAAGACACCGATTTGCCCCATAGGCGGTAGGTTCGAGTCAGGTAGATGGACGGATAGAATAGGTAGTTATGGTCTGGCCACAAGAGAGTGGGGATGCGTAACGGGGCAGAGGCATTTGTTGATTTCGGCCCTGCGACGAGGGCAGCTCACTATGGCGACAGGGGCGAGCTTGCGAGCTTGGATTAAGCTTCGAGATCAGCACCCCCCCAGACGTGGAGACCGCGTCCCCCGCTGCCGCTCCGCTCTAGCATGGGTACGGGGACGAGCATTAACATGGTCCAGCTGCCGATCATCTGCGGGATTTACATTGAGTCGTGGAAGGGAAAGAAGTCAAGAGTGGGCCAATAGGGGGGCCGAGTATGGTGGCGAGAGGGCCTCGCTAGGGAGAAACGCCGGTCAAGACAGAAGCCAGGATATCGCAACGTTCACAGATACTCTGGAACCAACAGGTAAACTCTAACAGGTCACAAGCTACCGTACTCCATTCATAACCCGCCGCCTGAAACATTCGAACTGGGGAAACCGTTGTCTCTCCGATAAGACAAACTCAAGTCAGCTCGAGCGCAGGGAACAGAGACTCAGGGACCCGGCCGTCCTTTCGCACTCGTCCCTCTTCCTCAAAATCTTCGATAGGATCGCTGCTGTAGTTAGGGAGAGCCCGGATATCTGCTCGGCCATCGTTGGCCCGCTTCTTCGGCCGCCCTCTCCTCCTTTTAGTGGGATTGATGGGCCCAACACCATGCCCTGCGATGTGTGGCAAATTTGAACGACTACCGACGAAGAGTTTGGGTTGGCTGAACCGGAACAGTTCTGACATATTGCTTATCTCACTAGGGGCAACGTCAGATTCGGCTGGAACAACCGCCATCGACGTCGCCATCGACGTCGTCATCGAAGGCGCGGTCACAGGTGACTCTGAATCGCTGATGTCCGCTTGTTCTGGGGACTCAAGCTCATTGGTCTCCAAGGTATTGATGATAGTTCCGATCTGCGGCGGACTGCTGCTACCCGCGTTTACCTCGACGCTAGGAGGCTGGGAAGAAACGCCAGAGCTGCTCAATGGTACGTCTAGCCCCGTCTCGGCCAACGATGGGTCATATGTGGCTCTCTGGCTTGAAGATGCGCCATCTGGGGAGTAGGCATCCCTCGAATCGGAATCGGACGTTTGGCAATCTTGTTGTATGTAGGTGGTGCCGACCGTTGCAATGTTGCTGGACTTCAGGCTACTACTGGAGGGGACAGGAGTGTCCGATGGTTGTAGAATCCGCGCTACATCGTGCTTGGCTTCTTCAAACGCCGCCCTGCTGATTTCGTCACTGTTTTCGTTACCAAAGACGAATGTCTTCCAGGCCTCATCAGGAATTATTTCACCCGCCTCTGTACAGGTTTGCGGTGAAGCAAGCGCAAATTGGGAGGATGAGTTATCGTCAGACGGGAACTCGGGATTTAGCTCACCCTCCTCGCAAGTCGCACAACTGCCTTGGTCCTGGATATCAACTCCAGCCTCCGCACTGCTTTCCTGGACGGGATTGGAGTGAGATACAGGCCATATTTCTTCCCCGAGACCTTCAAAATCATTCCCAGGTTGATCTGTCCTCTTTTTGGCTTGGCTTCCGACCGGCGGGTTTCGAGGTATGGGGGTGTCGAGTTGTTCCAACCGCCGAAGCTTGGCGACAAGCTCCTCATACCGGTTCAGTATTTCCGAGGAATTACTAGAACTGGGCGCCTTGTTGACGTCTCGTAACTTACTAGCGCTGGAATAGCTGAGCTCACCGACCATGAAGTCGCTCGGCGGTGGTAAGAATGTAGGGGGCTCTTGAGGCTCTTGAGGCTCTTGCTCGTGCCCCTGGACTTCGCTAACACCGGGACTGACTCTGTGCTCGAGAGAAGCTCTGCTCCCTTCAATGGCGACATGACTGCTGATAGGGCTGCTCGGTTGGCCAACCCACGCATGCCAGATGGCGTTCTCGGCTTTCTGGGAAGGTGGCACCGGGGATATGGCCCGGCCAACCCGTGCTATGGCAGTGCCAGTGTTTTCGGAGTCAAACTGCTCGAGGCGGTAGAATGATTCAGGTACAGGCCGTATTGAAAGTGGGTGGGAGAGCGGAGGGAATGAAGTCCAGATGTGGCCCTCGGCATCGCTTGAGATGCAACAACGCTGCTCTCTTTCGCTCCGGTCACTCGGTGGCTCTCTCATAGGTAGTACAGACCGTGGTAGCTCCTCGTTGTGGGAGGAATGGTCCGGGACCAAGCCACCTGAGCGTTATCAGCAATGTTTTCAATATCAAATTCGCAAGTGGTCATACCATGTGTATTTCTCAGGCTGGACGGTGGATGTTGGCGACCAGGCTCAACCTGCGATCCAAGGGCGGAATGCCCGGGGTTCGACCTCGTGATACTGGAGGTCTCTCCTGGCCGTTTTTCCTGGCTCCCGATTTGAATTGTTACATCCTCCCGACGAAGGGAATATACCTGCTGGTTTCTGCGTCCCTGCACCAACCCATCGCCGACAATATGAGACCGCCTCTTCCTACTTCCTTGTGACCCTGTAGAAGGGCTTCGGACTTGTGACTTCGTGCTTCGGGGCCTTTTGGCGGGTACCGGCAGTGGCTCACGAATGGTCCTCTAGTCTTTCGCGAGCAACTTCTGCCTCATCCGCTCTAGGGCCTCCTCATCATATTCAACCTCGGAGCTAGGAACGGGTTGCCCGCCTGCTCGTTCCTGAAAAAAGCGATTGACGGTTGGGAGAGGGGTGTCTTCCGTTGTTGCTGCGACCTTGTGTCGTTTCCTGCCCGGTTCTCCTCTCCGCCGACTGGGTGTTAGTGAAGCCCGCCGGCCGGACGGGGAGTCAGATTTGTTCGAGGCGTGGGAGCGTTGAGACGACGGGGTGTTAGAATGTTGGAGGAACGAGATTGGAGGAGGGCCGTTCTCTTCTGCAACTTTCTGCTCCGCAGCTCGAGCACGAGCGCGCGCGAAGTACTCCTTCTGGCGCTGACGAGCTGGGTTTATCTTCCGCATCCGGCCGCGGTTGTGGCGGTAGAGATTGCCCTCAGTCCAGTTCATATCAAGCAGACTGAATTGTGTCGGGGATAGGTTGTGTCTTTTTAAAATCCAACCGATGGATCATGGATCGATGCCCCTGAGCAGAGCAGATGCTGAATGTCGAGTCTTGAGCCGGAGTCATCCAGGTGTGGCCTCAACGACGTATGAACCTCAAGTGAGAGATTTGCATGGCCAAAAAAAAAAAAAAAAAAAGACCGAAAAAAACTGGTCAAATTCCAAGAACTCCAATTGTTCCTTCCCACGAATATCCAAGGTCGGGAGCACCTTCCATCATTGCACTGTGTCATCGAGAGATGCAGCATGAGATGGGCCGGCTCGTTCCTTCCGCCTCTAGCCGCGATCCGAGCCGGGCCCACTTTAAACTCCCATGCCCCGCGCCGACGACCTCCGAACCCGCAACCGACCCGGAGCAGCACCTTCAATCCCAACCCCGCTTTCCTCCGCCATCATGCGAACACAAGCTTGGAGGACATTCCGCGTCCTCTCACGACCTTTTATCCGGTCGTCCTACCGCCAATCCCTCTCGCAACAACCACTCCCACCATCGACCTCCCTCCTCTTCCGCACAATGGCGTCATCATCATCCACCACCCACCCCCCGGTGCTCAAGCAGCCCGTCAAGCTCGCATGCGTGCAACTGGCCTCGGGCTCCGACAAAGCCGCCAACCTAGCCCACGCCGCCGTCAAAGTGCGCGAGGCCGCCCAGACCGGCGCCAAGATCGTGGTCCTCCCAGAGTGCTTCAACTCGCCCTACGGCTGCGACTACTTCCCCTCCTACGCCGAGACACTGCTCCCCTCACCACCCACGCCCGCCCAATCCCCCTCCTACCACGCCCTCTCCACTATGGCGCGCGAAAACGCCATCTACCTCATCGGCGGCTCCATCCCCGAGCTGGCCACCTCCGCCTCCGAACCCTCCCAAAACACCTACTACAACACCTCCCTGACCTTCTCCCCGTCGGGCGCCCTCCTCGCCACGCACCGCAAGATCCACCTCTTCGACATCGACATCCCCGGGGGGGATCACCTTCCGCGAATCCGACGTGCTCTCCCCCGGCAACCAGCTGACCATGGTCGACCTGCCCGAGTACGGCCGCATCGGCGTGGCCATCTGCTACGACGTGCGCTTCCCCGAGCTGGCCACCATCGCCGCGCGCCGCGGCTGCTTCGCCCTGGTCTACCCGGGCGCCTTCAACCTGACGACGGGCCCGCTGCACTGGGAGCTGCTGGCGCGGGCACGCGCGGTCGATAATCAGCTGTATGTGGCGCTGTGTAGTCCTGCGCGGGATATGACGGCTGGGTACCATGCGTGGGGGCATAGCTTGGTGGCGGATCCGATGGCGAAGGTGTTGGCGGAGGCGGGGGAGGGGGAGGGGATTGTGGTGGTGGAGTTGGATGGGGAGAGGATTGAGCTGGCGAGGAGGGGGATTCCGTTGAGGGATCAGCGCCGGTTTGATGTGTATCCTGATGTTAGTCGGGTGCAGTGAATGCGCGGTTGGGGTGTAGGGGAGGTTTTGTAATGAATCAATGATAGCGTGTGTACGTTGTATGTATGTGTGCGTGGGCGGCTTGTCTTTCACTTCTTTATTTGTTCATGTAAAGATTGGGAGGGAGGCTGGTCTATTTTCGGCTTTGGCCCCTATCCAGTTTCCAGGAGCCCCTATTTACCCAAGGGGAGTCTACCTGGCCAGTGACGACCATCGTCTATCCCGCTTTGCAGCAGCTTGTTTTGTCTAGCATCATCCAGATGCTTGCTGCAACCCCTTTTCATCCGAGCCTCCCCCTTAACCAAGGCACAAAACCCCGGGCGTCCTTTTGGTCCCTATACCCATCGCCAGGCTGGTGATCTGCTTATTCCAGGGCCTCCTGCGCAAAGGTGGGAAGGACGAAGCTGGCCTTGTGGATGTCGGCGTTGTAGTACCGGCACAGCTTGCGCTCCTCCTCCTTGCTCCACGAGCGGACAGGCTCGCGCACGTTGCGGTTGGCGTCCTTGCAGCAGACCATGAAGCCGATCTGGCCCGACGGGTATGTCGGGATGGTGGTGTAAGCGTACTCGGCCACGGGGAAGATCTCGCCGCAGTCCTTCTTGAGCTTGGTGATCAGCGGCAGGTGGAGCCATTGGTTCTCGGCTGCGTTGCGTAAACAGCGTATTAGTCGGTCTATCCATCCGGGGCAGGGGGATCAACAGTAGGAGTGAGAGAGAATGAGAGAGACAATGGGTAAATGGGGTTGGCGGCGAAGGAAATGGAGGAAAGAAACGATGACGTGGAAAAAAAGCAAGGAGGAAATTCGTCGCAAGGGAAAGCCGAGACGAACTACCACTTGGTAGCCTCCTGAGAGATGACACAAGGCTGGATCAGGGCATATTAAAGCACCTGGCCCGGAGAAAGAGGGCATTCCTCCCAGGTCTCGACTTTCTTCGAGTAAATGAGACATACAACCTTGGGTGGTAATAACGCCGCCCTCGCGGAGAGCATCGTGAAGGAGCTTGAAGTAGGGCTTCTGGAAAAGCGACTCGGCCGGGCCCTCGGGGTCAGAAGAGTCCGTGATGATGACGTCGAAGGTGTTCTTGTAGTCGTCGAGGAACTTGAAGCCGTCGCCGATGTGGACCTTGACCTTGGAGTGGTTGAAGCCAGCCGACATGTGGGGGAGGTACTTCTTGGAGAGGCGGATGACGGCCTAGAACGTGTAAGTGGCTGACACATCTATGACTTGGGAGGGGCCCAAACACACCTCATCAATGTCGCAGAGGGTGGCCTCCTCCACGCACTCGTGCTTGACAACCTCGCGCAGGACACCGCCGTCGCCACCACCGATGACGAGGACCTTCTTGGGGTTGGGATGCGAGTTCATAGCCAGGTGGGTGATCATCTCCTGGTACGAGAACTCATCCCGCTCGGTGCACTGAATGACATTGTCGAGGACGAGCACGTTTCCATGGTTGGTGGACTCGAAGATCAGGACGTCCTGGAACTTGCTCTTCTCGTGATGCAACACCTTCTTGACCCGGAGGGTCATGGCCTGGCCTGCCAAGAGTTAGCATGATGAGTACCGATGAGTGCGGCAGGTGAGGTGTGATTTGGTTACTCACCGGGCCACATCTCCGAGATCTCGCGGAACCACCCATCTGTAAGCCGCCAGGAAATGGTCAGCGCACGTACTCATCATCGACAGCCGAATGCACCACCGGCATTGAATACGGCAGCCTCGATGGCAATCAGGCGGGTTGAAGATATTATTGGGCTAGGCGTCCAACTGCCACCCTCCCAAGGCTGTCCGTGTGAGGCGCAAGACACGGCTTAGGAAGCTCGTCTGAAGTGATGTGGTGACACTGGCGCGTAACCACACCGTTCAATTTAGAGGCTGGCAAGCTGCATTTTGCTTGTGAAAACGGTGAAAGACCGAGTACCGGCATTCTAGCAGTGCCGAATGTGCCGCCAAACTACTGCAGAAGGTGAGGTGATGCTTGTGAGGGAGGGGTTGACGATAGGACCGTTGTTGGAGATGGCGGGGCATTTGTTTAACTAGCGACCCCGCGGTCGATCATGGAGGGACGAGGACAATTCACTAAAAACGACAGTAAAACATAAAACATACCCTGGATGGTAGCGTGTGTAATTTCACTCATTTTGCGAATTTGGCTGGGGCGAAGGTACTTGAAAAAAGGTGAGCCGAGAAATTGGTGAGGCGGCTTGGAGAGAAGACGGCGTGAGTAAAACAGAGCCAGTTTAAAGGTGAGCCAGTGAGGTCAAGGCGGGGTAAAAGTTTGTGTGCCCCTTCTTTTTATCATGGACCACTCGAAACAGCAAACAGGTGCGACTTCTTCTTGGACTTGTGCAGAATTTTCCTCGGTCCCGCGGTCCCACGGTCGCCCTGAAGCCGATTGTATGAGCGAATAAGAATGTGGTAAACCCAAAAGTCGGGACCAATGATGCCCAAAAGGTGGAGAGCCGGGTGCGAGTGTATGTGTGCGAGTTTTAAAACTACAGAGCTGAGAGCCACCTAACTACCGGACGAGCTGACCGGATAGATCAATCTCCTGTCACCTCCTTGGCAACGACACATCTACCTATCTACCTTCTCGCGATACCTCATACATATGGTAGTTACTCCTACTACGCAGGGGTAAGGAGATTAAGAAACAACCTCCCGGATATGCTCACGGTCCGAGCACTCCTTCCCGGCTCCCGGGATAAACCGGTCGGTCCGTCGCGGCCCCAGGACGGACAGAGCACGGTCGGGTTCCAGAAGGTTGGTGTTTGGGTTAACTAGCGCTGAGGTCAGCGGCCGACCATGCTGGCGTTACGTTGGAGACGATGGAAGTAACCCCCAGACGCCTGCCGGTCCCGGCAACCAGGGCAATAATTATATTACAAAGATCGATAGGCCACGAATGGCGCCGTCAAGGACGGCCAAGCTCGCGACTCTTCTTGATGTGTCGTACTGCCTGCTGCCCTAAGACTGCAGGCCACGCGTCACTTCTCGAGTTGACAGAGAGCGAGCGCGGGATGTCGGTATCGGTATCGTCTTGATAGTGTTCAATTTTCTGCGACGACGAGCTTCATCAATGCGCCTCCACTACATATGCCGCTCCACCCCCCCTTGTGGAATGGCGCGGCGCGAAGCAGCGTGTCGATCCATCTTTCTCCTCCGCTGTCTCGCCTGCGCCATGACATCTCGAACGCCAGAGAAGCCTCTCGGCGAAACTAATTGACATCGTGTTAAGTGCCTGTCTCTCGTTTCAGCCTTTGACAATCCTGGAAGTCGATCAATACCGCTTCGGTAGGGCGGCACGAGGAAAGACTTGCGAGCCCTCGCAGAGGATTTGGAAAGAAAGTGCAGAGAAAGCAATGAGTCTTCCTCGGCTGAATCGAACTTCGGGCTGATGTATGGTGTTACACCACATTTCCTCCGTCGTTCCCGAGAGATAAGCAAGGAAACCGCGTGGCGATGAGATCGAACGGCAAGACAGTTCACAGCCAATCGCCACAGAAGAGCTTGAGAACCCGCGTGGCGTGGACGGAGAGATGGAAGAGCGTCACAGCGTTGAGACTCTGGCTTTCGGCGCGAATGCAGGTCTTCTAAGGAAGGGTCCGCGATTGGACGGAGCGAAACCTCTTGCCTCTTGTCGGTCTAGTGAAGATGCAAGATCTCCAAGAGCATGGGGGGTTTTCCCGGGAATAGGGGTAAAACATGGACGCCGGCGCTCCCAGCGGCGCGGGACTCCATCTTCCCATTGCCGGAACTAGAGCAGCAGAGGAGGCCGACGGGAGACACCGAGGGAGTTACACTAGTTAGCTACCCACGATTCCTATTTCTCCCATCTCATTGACCTCGTCGCTGTGAGATGCGGCCAAGACGTCGTCATTACAGAATCCGGAAACGCCGTTTACTTAACGTGTTGAGATTTCCATGTCGCGGAATGACACCAGACCCAAGTGTCCAGGGATTGGAATGCGGAGCTAAAAAAGACTGCGAACCGATGGAACCCTATCATGAAACTGGAGCTAATTCGGTTGTGATCGACCTCTTCCGCCGTTGGGGACCCGCGTGGGCGGGAGAACCCGAGGAGGCACGCCTCCAGTAAACCAGCTGAGAAAACAGCTTCTTCAGTTTGTAGGCCCTGAATCGGCCTCGCACGGTGGTGATGCGGGTTTGCGCAACGGTTTGGGGTCGACCTGCCTTGATTGAAAAGTTGGGCGGGAATTCCATCACATTGCACCGAAACGGAAGAAAAGGTGGGCCTGGGTATGGGATGGAAGATGCGGAAAGGAAACGCAGGGTGAGGCGGACCCACATACCTCAAGGCACCCCTGCTCCTTGAATGCTTGCCGGAGGAGCCCGCAGGAAGAGCGGGCCTTGAAGATGCCATGCAGGGCATTGGTTTTGGCGCGCCGCAGCGGAACAAATAATCGAGACATGAGGGTCGGTTGCACCTGGCCGAGCTCTGCGCCCCCGAGCCACCGTTGTTGACCCGGAGTCCATGTAACCCAGACTTTTTTGACCTGTTGAATCTTCCCGTCGTTTGATACTTCGGAGCCGACACGCCTTTTTGTGCTTCGCCGCGAAATTTCACTTATAGCCATCACATTTCCCTCAGCCGTACCGGGCCTATTCATGCTCTCGTCTCGCCTTCCGAATCGTTTGATCCCCACCATCGCCCGCTTGGCCGACCTCGACGACAACCGATTTAAAGCACCGGAAGGAGAGGAAAACCACCACTTTCGAATGGAGCAGTAGCGAGGAGGTCTTGCCGGAAATACAGCAGGCGATTTTGCATGGGCACCGTTTGGTAGACCTTGACACAACGTTGACGGGTTGCCCACACCTATCGCTGAGGTCCGTCGAGGTTCCCCGATAAACTGGGTAGTTGGCTGGTGTCGGGCGTTTCAAAAGTTGCGACAGAGCTCCCTGCGGAATTCCCTGGCCCCGCCACCACAGTTCGCCCACCGAACGAGCTCCGCACAGCGGGCATTAAACGACGTCAGCGACCGCCGTCGAACTTTCGACAATTCAATTTGAGCTCCAATTTGCCCATACCGTCGCCATTCCGATCACCACCGCCGCCATGTGTTTCGGGGGTCGCGAAAAGACCGATGAGTCGGGCGCCGCTCGCTCGCGCGAGCTTGATAAGATCATTCGCGCCGACGAGAAGCGCATGTCCAAAGAAGTGAAGCTTCTGCTTCTAGGTACGAACTGCGTTCCGGGTGGCAACGATGCCAGATCAACTAATCTTGCGCTTGCACAGGAGCCGGAGAGTCCGGAAAGTCGACAGTCCTTAAACAGATGAAGCTCATCTATGCTCAAGGCTTCAGCAAGACCGAGAAAATGGAGTGGAAGCCCGTGGTGTTCACAAATATCCTCCAGTCGTTCCGCCTAATTTTCGATGCGATGAATGACGCGGGTATTACGTTCGAGAACCCAGAGAACGAGGTAAGCTACTGCGCCTTCCGGCCCGCCGCCGGTCAGCTCTTTCTCGACTGATACTGACTGGCTATCTGGCAGAAAAACATGGCCCAAATGATGGTGGACTACGAGATGACGGCGCACGAGCCTTTACCAGAGGAGTACCTGGAACCTGTCAAGAAGCTCTGGGTGGACGCGGGCATCAAGAAAGCCATGGAGAAGGGCAACGAGTATGCGCTGCACGATAACCTGGATTAGTAAGTGGCCACACCATGTTGGGCAGAACTGCAAGGACTGACAAGCATCAAGCTTCTGTGATGATGTGGAGCGTATCTGGGATAAGAACTACGTCCCTACAGACCAGGACCTACTGCGATCGAGGTTAAGAACAACCGGCATCACCGAGACCGTCTTCGACCTGGGGCAGCTCACATACCGGATGTTCGATGTCGGAGGCCAACGGTCAGAACGGAAAAAGTGGATCCACTGCTTCGAGAACGTCAACTCCCTGATGTTCCTCGTGGCCATCTCGGGGTACGATCAGTGTTTGGTTGAAGATAAGGATGGCGTGCGTACTCCCTGATCTTGTCGGCGCGGGAAGAGAAAGCTAACATGGCGTGCCGCAGAACCAAATGAACGAGGCCTTAATGCTGTGGGAATCCATCGCCAACTCCCACTGGTTCGCCAAATCGGCGCTCATCCTTTTCCTCAACAAGATGGACCTCTTCAAAGAGAAGCTCGTTAAGAGCCCCATAACAGACCACGGTTTCACCGACTACCACGGGCCGCCGAACGACTGGGACCAGGCCAGCCAGTACTTTATGGACAAGTTCAGGGCACTGAACCGAAACCCGGACAAGGAGATTTATGGTCACTTCACGAATGCCACCGACACCAACCTTTTGAAGATCACGATGAGTTCCGTGCAGGACATGATCATCCAGCGGAACCTGAAGCAGCTCATTCTGTAAGAGGCGATATTTGCATCCATGACGTTCTGCTCTTTTTCCCCCCTGGGAACGCGCGAACCCCGTTTGTTGTAAGCATCCAATGCGGACTGCTCACCGGGCACGGCTGCATAAGAAACGCGGCCGGCCCGTTTTCCTTTCTCACTTGTCACTTTTTTTTTTTTTTAATTCTGCTTTTTATGATACCAAAAACGCTATGTTACTTCGCATTTCAAAAGTGGCTCCCTTCCTAACATATGTGACTTGATGATAGGGTCTAATTGCACCGAGCCCGCCCTGCATCCGCACCCCTCGCCTCAAAAAGGGACCGCTCACAGGGATTGATCCCCTGTTCTCGTTCGTTGTACATTATACTTGCGGGGCCTGGGCAAAAGTTACCTTCTTTCTTCTTTCTTGCCGGCTCCGGTTACACTGTTTATATACCTTAAACTCTTACTACGGCGTGGTCTCGACGTTTCTCAACAAAACCCGGCTCCGGACCGCACCGAGGCTGACAAGCTTCGACCTTCTTCTTTCTCGTTCATTATTTGCTGTTGGATTATGGCTGAGTTATACGGTTCTCCTAGCGATGTGACTGATCGTTTTGTGATGGATTTTGGGGCGAGGGGGGGCTGGAATATGATAAAAGATGTGTGGCATTCCGTGAGCATGAGTGGCCAGCGGCACTTGGGGGCTTCGATCCCTGCGAAAAGAGTGGGGCGCAATAGGGGGTGGAGACGAACCGTAACGGTCGGCCGTCAACGTTACAAATGCTACCTCCTGTATTGGGGTCCTTGTCGGAGGATTCGCTGGGCGCCGGATGGGCCGAGAACGAGAAATGATGATGGCGTCACACGCGGCTTGCTGTTGGTTCGGACGAGCCGCGGCTGGGCATGCGGATGCGGCTGGGTGAGTGGCTTTCTGGGTTCAGGCAATTGGGGGCCCACTTGGCAAGTCATTCGCTTACTCCCATCACTGCATACACAGGAGGAGACGACGATGCATATTTATTACAAGGTAGAGATGTGGATGGATGGATGACACATTGCCTGATAGTCTCTCATTGTACATAGATAATCTGTACTGCGGCGCAAAGGCGAAGGAACTTTTAGATTCCGGAGAAATGAATCTGAAACAAGGCGATTCGCTCGTCCACGATACGAAAAGTCCACACAGCGGAGTCCGCTGACCACTTGGCAGTTGCTTTTTGTTTGATAGTGGGTGGAATCAGATATGTCGTCCTCTGGTGGTGTTGGGAAATTTCCTGAGGCGGATCGGCACACTGGGCCGGCCGCGAGTCCCCCCAGACGGCAACCCCCCTTGCCCGAACTAAGGAGCTCTGGTGGACCCGGGGCACTGGTTAGTGGCGCCGGTCTGGTTCGGTAGTTGGACGCCGTTCATGCAACGGGGGGTAGGAGCTTCTCCTCCGTATCATCAATGATATCAAAACAAGTTTCGGACTGGAGCTAGTAGTTAGGTACTTATGCCATTTTGCTGGGACTCTCATGGAGCCTCTCTCTGTCCGAATCCTGACTTGACACCCGAGACACCTTGACTCTCGAGTCTTCTCTAGTGGCCATGCTGTGCTACGAGAGACACGAGATTCCAGGGCGCGTTGTGGAACGGCGACAGGGCCCGCCATGAGGTCTGGGCCGGAACACAGCATGGGCGATTCGCCCAGCTGAGGCAGTCTTTTCCGTGCGATCAGCACCGTTGCTTTCCGGGCTCCACTTCGCTCTTCTTTCCCCCGGCGATGGTGGTCTGCAAGATGGGGTCGAAAAACGGAGCTCCGATGTAATGAGAGGTGTCCAACAGTCCAACAAGACGGCGAGGCCCATTTCTTTTTCTTTTTGGCTTGAGGGTTGGGTGGAACTTGGGAGGGAAAGTCGCATTCGGTGTCGGATGTGTTGCGAATCTCGGGATGGCGTGTTCGTCAGACGGTGACGAGTGGGCTGCCTTTTTCCCCGGATCGGCTGTTCGGGTTTGCCATATGGCAACCACGTGGATGTGAGTGGGTTGATACCGTGCTGTCTGTACAGTGGATTTGGTGGAATCTTGCACAGCCGAGGCCATCGTTTCGTACGACGGCTCGACAACTCATAGTAATTTGGAGTTGACACCAGGAACACACTGTGTACGAAGTATGCTGTCTCTGAGCACGAGGGAATGTGAGACATTATTTGCAAGATCGGACGCTATCGGGCTCGGAGAGATCACAGCGCCACACATGGAGGGGCAGAAGAATTGATTAAGATGCAGCTGAACCCTTGACGAAGGTCCTTCGTGTGGTCGTTCCTCCCACTTCCTCCATTCACCCTGCCAACCATCCTCCACGCAATCCACTGTGCGAATGACGGGAACTCGATTCAGTTCCACACATTACACAACATTCAAAGATACCCGTGCATTGGGAAACTATCTTTAGATTTATTATGCATTGCGGCACAATGCATTTAATATTCTGAAATAATTAACTATTATAATAACTAGTAGTTCCATAGCCTCGTCATGAAATGCTGCAAGCATCTGAACTCACAGAACTCACAGTGTGTGCATGTTATTATTCACTGTACAAGTAAACAACCGGAAGGAATCCTGCAACATTCTGTGCCATCTGGTTCCTGCCAAAATAGGATTTCCTCCAAAGTGTAGGTTTTGTAGCTTTCCATCTGAAACAAACAGCGATCTGAGAATTGAAATCTTATGAACAATCCGAAGTCAGCGAGTTGACGACCAACGCCTGGTGCTTGTTTACACCCCTCCTTTTCTTGATATCCCGCAATTCACCAACACCGCCCTGCTCATGATACACTACCTAGACGCCCCGCAACCCACAACCTAAAGCTTAGCCACACCTGGAAATTGACCACGACTCCAAAGCCAACATCACAACCTAGCGTAACCACCACCGCTGACCCCATCAACAAGCCACACCCACCTTCCCGCTCACAATGTCGACCAACCCATCCTCAAAGCCCCTGATGGGGAACAATAACAACAACAACAACAACAGCCCCGCCCCTCCCCCAAGCGACATCCACCCGCCCTCCTACACCACCGCCACCGCCGCAAGGAGCAGCTGACAATCAAAGCCCACGCAGCGCTTCGCCTTCCTCCGCACGAAGCGCGGCATCGCCATCTTAGTCGTCGTCGGCCTCGTCATTATCGGCGGCGGCCTAGCGGGGTTGGCTGCGCTGCGTAATCGTGACGGGGGAGGCGGCGAGTCTGCGCCGTGGACGGGTGATGACGAGGGCATGGTCACGGATGATGCGTGGTTTTATGGCCAGTCGCCGGCGGTTTATCCTTCGCGTGAGTTTTTCTTGGGGGGGTTTTATTGCCTCTGGTGTTGTGTAAACTAGGGGGTGGGAAGGAGCTGACAGATGATGGTAGCGAATATCACGGGTGGAGGGCAGTGGGCTGATGCGGCTGGGAAGGCAAGGGAGTTGGTGGGGAGAATGACGCTTGAGGAAAAGGTAAGTTAACTTGCTTAGAGGGATCGTGGCAATGGCGAGACTAACCGTAGCGTAGGTTAGTTTGACTGCCGGCGCTAGCTCCAACACTAGCTGTCCGGGGTTCATTCCGGCTGTCCCACGCCTTGGATTCCCTGGCATGTGTCTGGGCGATGCAGGCAATGGACTTCGCGGGACGGACTTCGTCAGTACGTGGCCGAGCGGCATCCATGTCGGTGCCAGCTGGAACAAGGTGCTCGCTCGCCAGCGGGGGTTCGGTATGGGGGGCGAGTTCAAAACCAAGGGCGTGAATGTGCTGCTTGGGCCTGTCATTGGGCCCGCCGGTCGCGTTGTCTTGAACGGCAGGAACTGGGAAGGTACGGTCTCAACCAGATAAGTGCTTGTGCGAGGCAGGCCGTTGACATGAATAGGCTTTTCAAGCGACCCCTATCTATCAGGAGCTCTGGCCCACGAAACGGTTACGGCAGTGCAAGCTGCTGGGGTTATTACGAGTACCAAGGTGTGTCCCACCGACTAGGATATTGAGAAACCGTGCTAACGCCATACAGCACTTTATCGCCAATGAACAAGAAACAAACCGGAACCCATCTAACGATGTCGAGTCGGTATCATCTAACATTGATGACAGAACGATGCACGAATTTTACCTTTGGTAAGCTAAGCAATCCTGATCCCATTGCCTTTTTATCTAACATCACAGGCCTTTCCAAGATGCTATCCGTGCCGGTAGTGGCAACATTATGTGCTCGTACCAGCGGCTCAATAATTCGTACGGGTGCGCAAACAGCAAGTCGCTGAATGGTCATCTTAAAACCGAACTTGGTTTTCAAGGCTGGGTCGTTAGCGATTGGGGCGCCCAGCACACTGGAACAGCCGCAGCTCTAGCAGGCATGGACGTTGCTATGCCAAACGGAAACGGTTTCTGGGGTTCGCATCTCGTGGATGCTGTCAACAACGGATCGGTTGCCGAAGCCCGCATAGACGACATGGCAATCAGGTAATACATGGCTCCTTAACCTTCCGGTGCCCCAGACTAACAACAACAGGACCCTCGCAACCTGGTACCTCATGGGTCAAGACCAGGACTTCCCGCAACCCGGCGTCGGCATGGCCGCGGATCTTACCCGACCTCACAAAATAGTTGATGCTAGAAACTCAAGTTTTCGGTCAACACTTCTCGATGGCGCAGTCGAAGGGCACGTTCTCGTAAAGAACATTCGGAACGCGTTGCCCCTGAAAGAGCCGAAGATGCTGTCTATTTTTGGTTACTCGGCCAAGAACCCCGACCACAACAACCCCATGCCCGGCCTCTCCCCATGGCTCTGGGGCGCCGAGTCGTTCAACTACACCGAGTTCGCCGTCAGGTTCTTTGGCTCCACCGGAGAACACAGCTCCACGCCCATCGCCTTCAATGGTACCATCTACTCTGGTGGCGGTTCGGGGGCGACCTCACAGTCCGCCACCGTCTCTCCCTTTGACGCGCTTGTCCAGCGGGCGTACGATGACGGCACCGCCCTTTTCTGGGACCTCGTTAATGGCACCCCTTTCGTCAACCCCATGTCGGACGCCTGCTTGGTGTTTGGAAACGCCTACGCCACCGAGGCCGCCGACCGCCCGGGACTGTACGATGATTACACCGATGAACTGATTAAACACGTCGCTGACCGATGCGGCAACACGGTCGTCGTCCTCCACAATGCGGGCACTCGCTTGGTGGACCAGTTCGTCGACCATCCCAACGTCACAGCCCTCATCTTTGCCCATCTTCCTGGCGAAGCCTCGGGTCGCGCGGTCGTATCGCTGCTGTATGGAGAGTCGAACCCGTCGGGGAAGCTGCCGTACACCGTCGCGAGGAATGAAACCGACTATGCCGTACTCGGCCCGGATGTGGCAGGGGAGTGGGATAGGTTTGCGCGGTTCCCGCAGAGCAATTTCACCGAGGGCGTGTTTCTCGACTATCGGCACTTCGACGCAAAGAATATCAAGCCCAGATATGAGTTCGGTTTCGGGCTAAGCTACACCACGTTTGGGTATGACAACCTAGTTGTCGAGAAGGTGGCTGAGGGCAAGTTCGGGGAGTATCCCACGGGACAAGTCGTCCAGGGCGGGCAGGAAGATCTGTGGGACGTTTTGGTCGAGGTCTCGGCCGATGTCACCAACACCGGGAAGGTCGACGGGGCCGAGGTCGCGCAGCTGTATGTGGGAATCCCGGCCGAGGGCGCCCCCGTGCGGCAGCTGAGGGGGTTTGAGAAACCGTTTCTCAACGCGTCGGCGACGGAGACGGTCCGGTTTGGGCTCACGAGGAGAGACTTGAGCGTGTGGGACGTGGTGGCGCAGAAGTGGCGGCTGGTTAGGGGGGAGTACAAGGTGGAGGTGGGTGGGAGCAGTCGGGATTTGCCGCTCGTTGGGACGGTTACGATTTGAGGGATATCGACTGGTTAGCGACGGGGTTAGGCGTTGGTTTTCTTTTTGAGTTTTTATGATGACATGGTGGACGGAAAGATGTTTGCAAGGTATTATGATGAATATGATATGAACATGAAGGATATATGTACAAAGTTCGTAATTACCCTGCTAACGCGGAATTCCCGTGCTATTAGCAATGTGATGCTCTTCTCATCGTTTCTGATGCTACTCGGCCAATCTACCACGGCCACTTAAGCCTTCGAGCCCACGCTCCTTCTCCTGCGCTTGCAGCCCGGTCCCGGCTTCTCGCCGATCAGCTTCTTGAAGGTCTCAACCATGCCATCGTACGCCGGGTGCTTGGAGAAGTCCTCAAACCAGACCAGCGACGCGCCGTTGCCGGGGAAGACATCGGGCACCCAGCTGAAGGGGTCGTAAAAGTCCCACAGGGTGATGCCGACGCAGGCCTTGACCTTGACGCAGGCGGTCACCACCTTCTGGTAGCACTCCTTCTGCCACTCGAGCTTGGTGTCGTTGACGGGGGTCTTGATGCGCACGTCCAGCTCGGTGAAGGCGACCTCGTCGACCAGCGCGGCGTAGCCCTCGCTCGTGGCGATCAGGTCCTCGGCCGTCGGGTGGTTGTCGGCGTGCAGGTGCGCCTGCATGCCCACGCCGTCGATGCGCACGCCGGCGTCCTTGAGCATCTTGACGAGGCGCACGGCCCCCGCCGTCTTGACCGAGTCCGGGCCGCTCGATGCCGTAGTCGTTGTAGTACAGCTTGGCGTCCGGGTTCGACCTCGGCGGCGGTCTGGAAGGCCAGCTTGATGTACTCCTTCGCCGAGCCACGTTGTAGAAAACGCTTCTTG